ACTTTCAGTCACGGTGTACAGTTGTTTGCAATACATGTTTCGAATTTCAAAGCAATGGATCAGCTACATTATTCCAGAAGTTTGTGAGGCGTTGATCGATGTTTTAAAGAAAAATATATAAGTAAGAAAAATAATTCTTTTACTTCTAAGTACTCGTACATTACAGAATAAAACATTGGAGCTCGCAGCACCGGCGTGCCTGTCCAAACATGTGCAACTTCGTCGCGAGCCATTCCTGTGATGTTGCGGTGAAAAACCGACAGAGCCTGGATCGAGCCGAACGGCGAGCTGTAACGCTAATCAGGTTCGCAACGGCGTTCTTTTCACTGCCTACACCAGCGCGGCGCGGTTCGTCGCCTGGTTTGGTTCGCGGTGTTGTTACATATCTGTACATGGCTTTAGATCTCGGCTACGAACATGCCGTATAGTGTACTTTAAGAACAGGTTTTACTCTACTTTTCAGCCCCCGGGCTTCATGCCCTAGAGCAGTAAAGTCATTAATCTTTAAAAAGATATATGCTCATCGACCACGAAAACTGTATACATTCATGTGAAAGACTCAAATTTGTCGCCGGTCGTAGATGAAATTATTTAGGTATCGAGAATCTAATAAGCAACAATATCCCTTGGGATGTTAATGTAACGGCACCTCACAACTTGGGCGCCACGTTCACGGCGCGAGCCGTGGACGTCCACTTAGCGCCCTAGAGACATAAATAACTATATTTTAACTTGTAAACGCTGATATGTTTTGAAAATGAGATGTAGATATTTAGAAAAGTTTGTTTAATCGGAAGGCCATAAACAAATTAAAATGAACAAAAGCATTAATAAACTGAGTGTTAAAAAATCTGGATATGGTAAGTAATCACAAAATGTAATGAGGTCTAGGACAACACACCTTTCTTTTTTTTTATATCGAAACAGCCGCGCAGGCAGAAGCCTAAATGCCGGAACACCGCGGCTGCTATGATGATCCCAAAGAAATTTTGTTGTTGAATCAAGTCCGGACCAGAAGCTTTGTTGATGTCGAGCGACAAGAGCACTCGTCTTACGGTCTTATGCCTGAATGTTACCTCCCGCATAGTGTGGGGAACCCTTTGAATTGACGGCACTTGGGCATTGGTGGGGACGTCCATGGTGGAGTTGGCAGCAAAGATCTTGGCTAGCACTTCCGCCTTGGCCTTTGAGTCGAATACAATAGTTCCATCCTGACACATAAGTGGTGGGAGGCTACTGTGTGAGAAGTTCTTTTCAATCTGCTTGGCCAGCGTCCAGAAAGACCGACTGCCATTGCGCTGCGACATTACCCTGTGTCTAACTTTTATATCATGCTGGTTTTTGGCATTGCGAACCGCTTCGTTATATTTGTTTCTGGACTCGACGTCGGCTTGTCTGTTCTCTACAGTGGGGTTTTGTAAGTAGGTTCTGTGGGCCTTGATCTTCTGCTGGCGAGCAGTGTCACACGATTTGTTGAACCAGCCGTTGGACCCTGGTTTAGGAACTTTCACTGTGTGAGGGATGTATTCCTCCATTCCGACGTGGATAATTTCGGTTATTGAAGAACAGACAGTCGACGCATCCGCGTCAGTGAAAGCTAGAGAAGAAGTCTCTGTGCCCCTCCCAGTCGGCATGTCCGTAATGCCAAGTTTTGCGGCCTGTGCGAGTTTCTGCTGCCACAGCGGCTTCTGACCAAAACCTAACCTCCACAACACCGTGATCTGAGTTACCCAGGGGGGACAGGACAGCAGTGCTGTAAGGGGCAGGATGCGTGGTCAGAAAGAGATCCAGCAGGCTACTGGCGTGTGACGAGACGCGGGGGAAAAAAGTAGGGCTCGTCACCAGCTGGGTCAGCCCTTGAGTAAGAGCGAACGCTTCGACTGCATGACCTGCTGCATCGGTCTTATTTGAGCCCAACCAAAGCTCATTGTGGGCATTGAAATCACCGAGAAGAACTACCTCTGAAGCGGGGTGATTGATGTTCAGGAAGTCGATTTGGACGGCGAGGTATTCGAGTAGGTCATCCCAGTTATGGTTCGAGGGAGAGCGATAAAGGCAGCAAATAAATTTGGGTGATGTTTTGGAGTTGAGGCGAAGCCACAGAATGTCCTTCCGGTCTGATTCCAAAGAAAGATCCCTGGAGCAGGAAAGACTGCTGCGGACAAAAGCCACAACTCCCCCGTTCTTTCTCAGATTGGAGTGCACCTCGTAGTTTGGGAAGTTGAGATGGTTAGTCGGTGCAGTCTCTGAGATTTTTGTCTCCGCCAAGAAAAGCACGGCGGGACGATTGGATTGCAGGTAGTGATGAACAGCATCAATGTTGCTGTTAATCCCGCAGATGTTCGAAAAACAAATTTTATCTTCGATGTTGTTCCCTCGAGCCCACCCTTCACCCGGACATTCCGAGAGTGGAGTGAGTTTACGTCCGGAAAACGTCCGTTCTGGAAAAATCCTATAATTTTAACAAATAAAGATTTGCGGATGTTTAAACTTGACGCCTTTAGGCACCGTTCTTAAGGTGAAATATGGTTTGGCATGAATATTGGCATGAAGACGCAGTCAGTTGTACGGAATTTGTCGTCTTATTAGATATTTGGAGATTTTTTAGAACCTACAAAATGTTTTAGACGAAGCGAGTAAATATGCTTGAAAAGTTAGTAATAATTATTTTGTCGGTGAAACATTTTTTTCTCTTCAAGGTATTGTATCTACAAATTTTTGAATGAAATTCACCGTCTAGTTCACAAATAATATTAAATCTTTACATGGGCTCTTTTGGGAAACTCGATACGTTTCCGTATTATTTGCATATCCTGAACAACTAATTTATGTTTAAAAGAGTGATTTTATGAAACTTCAAAGGCGCTGAAGCGTAACTTTGAAGTTTTAGACAAATCCACAATCTTGTTTTTGAAATATTTAGCTGGAAGTTATTAGATATACGCATGGTTTCTGTCAAACTTATGTTTCCAGGTATTTTATAAACAAAAATGTTTTAAATTTTCTTACCATCGAAATCTTATCTGCAACATTCGAAGGTAGATCCTTTATTTTGATATTGGAAATATAGTATAGTAAAATTAGTGAAAATGAGTAGCCGACGTGACTTAATTATTCCGTGGACACTCTGCAAATCTTTTTTTCTGGGTACGCAATACTTATTTCTACCGTGCCCTGGTACCAGACCATTTCACTTTTATCTCGGAGGATGATTGGTTGTCAAAACTGATAAATATTCGCTCATTCTTCCAAAACAATCATATTGAAAATTGGTTGAAAAAGCAGAGAAAAGTACTCAAAACCGGACTTCCATTCTGTTATCAAAACAAAACAAAAATATATGAAAAACGACTAGACTTTAAAAGTGTTCAGTGTTTGTTCAAGCATCATTTGATTTACACATTCATAATTCGTATTCGAAAATTACACTGCGTAACATGATTTCGGTAACCGCAAACCAAATTGCTTTAGTTTTCTCTTTAGTTACTGTAAGTAGGCAGTGGATATCTTTTGTTTCTGTCACGACTTATTTTCGAGTTGTACACCGGACTCGTTTTTTAGTAGATTCCTCTAATGACTATTTTAGTAATAGCTGATAAATTCAGAAATTATGTCATATATACATATAGGCGGTCGGTATGGACGTAGAATACCGTCGATGTTGGTTTTTTGACAGTTTTTTTGACTGATAGTAAAAACTTAAATATCCGGGATATGGTAACACATTATATACACAACTGACCAAAAATTAAACATCATACACAGGACCGCATTAAGGGGGGTCTTCTGTGTAACATTTTTTCCTCCAGGACTTCATTAAAAAGTTGCGAGGATTTGAAGTTTAAAAATAAAAAGATACTTTTAACTTGACTTTTACAAGAAAAAATTGTAGTAGTAACGATAACAACCAACGTCAAGTTGGTATCAAGGCCTTCTATTTTATTTTGAAACTAATTATATCTGGGTTGTTGATGAATGATCTAATTTGTTTTTTGTTATCTTTGCGAAATCAATGCACTCTAGGTAAAAACAGAAGAGTAGGTACTTATTTGTAGCAAATAGAAAAAAACAGTGGCGTACTATATTTATTTGGAAAAATAATATCACTAATCGCATGTATCTCCGCCACTAATGCACGTTAATTTTAAGTAAAGTCTTTTGAATGTGGGCAATACTTAGGTAAATGCACATACCAAATTTTAGTTCAATCCAGTTGACGGTTTTCAAAATATTAATTTTTTTTTATTTTCAAACTTCTTTTTAATCACGCTCTCGAGGCAAAAATGTTACATAGAAGACCCCCCCTAAAAATGCGGTCCTGTGTATGATGTCTCATTTTTGGTCACGACTTGTGAATCACCCTGTATAGACATGGTGATTGTCATTTACATTTTTCAAATATAGTTTGAGAAAACCAAAAGTCTGCCAATTTTGGCCTGAAAAACAAGGTTGAAATCACTTTAAAATAAACCAATCTGAATTATTCTTCACGGTCTTGTAGAGCAAGGTTTTAAGTTTGATTTAGATTCTTGGCATCTTCCAAAATTAAAAACTTTAACCGAGTTTTTTAGCTCTGAATATACCCGCACGGTAACCTAGATCAAATTTCTTTAAACAATTTTATTAAATAAGAAAATAAGAATTTTTTCTGGCCGGGCGACTTTTTTTTCAGCTTTTTTGGATCATTCCGAACAAAAAGGCTTCCATCAACTTTTCTCTAAAACCGAACATTTGCGTGTTACAAGCGAATGCCTGAATAGCCCAAAAATACTGTTAAAATTTATAATTTTTGAGCTCGCCAAGTATCTAAATTAAAATTTGAACTTTGCTTTACAAGACCCCAAAAAGTGTTTTGAGATGACTTAATTTTAAAGAGATTTTTACAGACTATACAGTCTGATTCCGTTGATGCCAGGAACTTTGCTGTTAGATGTGCGGCCAATGGTAGGGCAGGAATTTTATCTAAAATCGTCTCGCTAGTTCTACCTTAATTATTTGATATTCCAGGGAATAAAAATGAGAAGAGAAGTGCAAAGGAGGATAGGACTGATAGAAGTTCAAGATCAAATCGCAGTCCTAACGTATCTGAGGGACACGTTCAAGTTTATAGATAGAACCAAGATATGCACAGTTGGAAAGGGCTATGGAGGTTTCGTTGCAACTATGATGCTGTTGCAGGATTTCCACCAGGTCATCAATTGTACCATCAGTATCTCGCCTATTACCAACTGGAGATTCTTCAGTAAGTAACAATTCAATGCAAAGTTGTGATAGATATTATTTTAGACAGTTTTTTCGGCAAGTATGAAAGAAGCTATATTTATACACGACCGTGCGCATAGTGATTCAAGTCATGAGGTTCTAAGACTTGGCCAAAACTAGAAAGATTCACTAAATATCAAAAAAAAACTCACTGCATGTCTTCGTAGTCGCAAAAATCGAATTTGACATTCATTTGTCAAAAATCAAAATGGTGGATCCAATATGGAGGACATGTTTGGATTACGCTCAAGTTCGGGTTTTTTACGTTTTGAGGTAGCTGATAACGAATTAGATATCGATTTTTGTCGATGTCAAAATTGCGGATACATGTATGACATATTTGCTTCTTCTCATTTCAGCGTTGATGAGATAGACATTCACTTTACTATCATTCTGCTTGCAGAGCCATCTAGATGGAACTAATGTTAACAAAAGATGTGTTATGTATCTGCAACTGAAAACAAAATCTGTAGTGTAGACCGAAAATATGTTTTTCAAATAGACTGACAAAATACCTTTCACGTCCGCTATCCTTGAATTAACCCATATCACAGCCGACGTCAACTACGAGCCCGCTGCTTGCTGCATCGACGCAACTCGTGCTCAAAGCGCTGAGATAACATAACCTTTTCAATTTGTGATTTTGGAATCCCAGAGGCTGTAATTAAGAGATAAGCTTGTTTTCTAAGCTTCAAAGTGTGTGTATCTGTTCAAAGTGATCGGTGACTATAATATATGAGAAATAGACTCCAGTTGTAGTGCTTCTGTGCTTTAAAAATAAACTAAGAAGTGTCACTGTGGCTGTTCGCGCATCAGGACGCTAAGGATTTCAACTATTGAAAACGTGCAAATTCAGGTTGTATTTTTCTTTTTTCATTTATCAAGTATTTGACGCAGACAATATGCCTCGTTGTTGCTGAACGTTATCCTTTATGCAATGCAAACTATAATTCTGCCTTGAAAACAGAAAGCTATGTTTCAACTTTTCGCTTCCCAAGTACCGAAAGTCTGAAAAACAAATGGCTTATGGAAATTCCCAGAAAAAATTGGACACCTTCAAAATATTCAGCTGTGTGCAGTCGTCATTTTAGAGAATCGGATATCATCAGGACAGAAAATATAGTTTTGGCGGATGGAACAGTCCAAAATAATATACCTTTGAAATATCCAAAATTGAAAGAAAATGCTGTTCCCTCCATTTTCCCAAACTTGCCATCATATCTTTCAAAAACTGAAGCACCCAAAAGAACTAACCCAATGCAAAGAAAACAAAAATTAATTGAGAAACATGAAAAAGCTATCCAGAATTTCGATGATATGGATAAGATCAAAGATAAATTTAGTTCAAAAATGTGGATTTGGAGTTATTTGTGTTGTTACTGATAATCACCGAATTAATAGAGCAATGTTCAGGAAATCAGCAAAGGATTCATCAGAAAATTATTCTATTCCAAATCCACATAATCCTGATAAGAACATATATTTAACTTATGATGTTGTGCATATTTTCAAGAGGATCAGAAATAAATGGATTAATTTAAAAAACCTAGACAAAATTTTTGTATATCCTAATTTTGACAATAATGATATTATTCAGTATGCTAAATTTGAAAACATTCGTGCTGTATATCAATTGGAAAAAGAAGCTGTAGTTAAGAAAGCATATAAATTAAATTATAAAACATTGCATCCAAATTCATTTGAAAGGCAAAATGTATGATCGAATAATAAAATCTTTTCTTTGCAGTTGAGTCGAGTTGTTTGTATTTTTTTAAAAATCTATAAATTACGTCAACCGAGTTTATTTGCGTTTCAGATTCCTACTTCACCGAGAAATACCTTGGCTTTCCATCGAAACATCTCCAGGAATACGACAACGCCGATTTGACCTTAAAGGCGGTGAACCTGAACGATCGCCATTTCTTATTGATTCACGGAACAGCTGACACCGTCGTTACTCCGCAGCACTCTATGATGTTGGCAAAGGCTCTTATCGAGCAGGACATCCTCTTCCAGCAGTTGGTGAGTCGACCGTAGATAATGCACACGGAATAATAATATAGAGCGGATTAACGAAGACAGAAGCGTTAAAAAGGGTAGAATTAGATTCTAATTTGCAATGCGTGTGATGCCCGTGTGTCCAATTTTAATATTTTCGACACACATTTTTTTAATCATTCACTGTTACATTTTCAAGAAGCTTCCCACTACCTACTTTTTGAACAGATCAAGTTGGCAAGCTGAAGTCCGGGGTGATTAAATTGCTGGATAGATAGATAGTTTATTGTCCTATTGGATCATGTTAGATGATATAAGACTTGTCAATATCAATTTGAAGATCATATATGCGTTTGAGCAAATATGCCAGAAAAATACTTATAATTATAAAATAAATAAGGACATTACAATTACAAAACATTTTAAAAGGTTAAATCACATTATAGGTACAGGTACAGTGCAAGAATCGTAATGTGTTCAATCTGTAACGGTAAAAATATATAAATATACAGCGACTTTTTTTATCACAAAAAATGTTCGTCTAGCCGGTAAAAATCATTGAAGCTGATACAAAGAAAAGAAAAGCGGTAGGAGAATCTGTTAGAAATACATAATACATATATAAACACAATAAACATCGAGCAGTGAGGACAAATGGTTAAAAGCTTAAAAAGAAAACATACATACTTTCGTTAAAACTCGAATAAAAAGGGAAATTAAAATACATTTACTCCACGATAATAGACAATTAACTGATAACGAAATGATTAACAGCTTAAAAGAATTTAAAAAACAGATACTTTCATGTGTTAGTAAAACTCATGTAGAGAGTAATAGCATTTTTCAACCAGATATTTCCTGAGATGTTTTTTCAGCGCAAGGATATTAGTGCTTCTCCGCAACTCACTCGGCAGATTATTGTATACCTTAGTGCACGCTAGAGTGGGAGATTTTCGGAATAGGGCAGAGTTATGTGTCGGTATACTCAGATCATGCCCTATTCTAGAGTTGTATTGACTATTAATGGCGTTGTTACGAACAAATCTATTGCTATGTTCAAATGCGAAGATGGCACATTTGTAGATATAGATGGAAGTTAATGTAAGCAGATTATAGCGTCTAAATATTTCTTTTCAAGAGTCCCTCTTATTAGTATTAAAAATTAATCGAAGTACTCTTTTCTGCAGGATGAATAATCTGTTAATCATTGTTGCCTGTCGCCATATGATTATATTGTTAGTGAGGTGAGAATAAACTAGCGCGTAGTACATATCTAAGAGTGAGTTTAGATGGATGTTAGGCTTTAATTTCAATATTGCAAAATAAGCACTGTTAATTTTGTTGCAAATGTGATTTATTTGTGGTTGCCAGCTTAACTTACTATCAACATGAGTTCCTAAGAAGACAGTTTGATCTGAAAAGCTATCAATATCCATGCGTAGTTTCTTGTTGAAGAAATTAATTTCAACAGTCTTATCTTCATACAAAATGAGGCGGTTAGACTGGCACCACTTGCTCATTTCACTTTTGACTTTCTCAATAGATTCGAGAAGATCCTGCGGTGTCGTGGCACTGACGACGATAGATGTGTCATCCGCACAATTAATCATAAAGCCAGACAATTTCAAGTCATTTATGTATACAATGAAGAGCAGTGGTGCGAGTACTGAGCCTTGTGCCGCACCTATATTCACGGAATATTATGTTGACGTATGACCATTGACCTTCGTTTTCAATTTTCTATCTGTGAGGAAAGACTGGATCCAGCTGAGAATAAAATCCCTTATACCTAAGCAGTACAATTTTTCCACGATAAACGAAATATCCATTATATCGAATGCTTTCGAAAGGTCAAAAAATAGTCCAGCAACGTATCTGTTTTCGTCTACTTCTCTATATATATGGGAAAAAAGTCAAAGGTCGCCGTTTCTATAGATCGTGAGGGTCTAAACCCATGCTGGATATCTGATAGGACATTATAGCGATTGAGAAAACATAATATACGTTTATACAGACATTTTTCAGTGACTTTAGAGATCATCGATAAAAGTGATATTGGTCTGTAGTTTTCAAGGTCTGAACGGTCACCCTTTTTGTATACGGGAATAACAATAGCTAGTTTCAAGCATTTCGGGAATTTACCTTGCTTCACTGATTTATTAATAAGGACTGATAGGGGGGAAGATATTTCACGTTTTACAAACTTTATCACACGCGTTGAAATTCCATCATTTCCACTGCTTCTTTTATTTGGAAGGCTGCTGATTACTTCCACGATCTCTTCAGTGGTGACATCCTCGTAGAATATTGATGATGCTACCCGATTTTGTGACATCTTGATGGGTTGTCACATTTAAAGTGTTCTGCTAACTTGCTCTCTGCTATTGTGGAAAAATACTTGCCAAATTTGTCGGGTACGAGGGTGTCAGTAAATTCTTTGTCTTCATTTTTCAGCACTATTTGATGATGTTTCTTTACTCTTCCGGTTTCTTCATTGACTATTTCCCATATTTTTTTAGCTTTGTTGTTGCTGAATTTTATTAGACTAGTAAAAGTGGTTGCTGAAAATTTGAATATTCCAGCTGGGCGCCCTTTTGGAAAACTTTCTTAAATTGAATGTGGCGTCACGTGGTACGTTACTTTGTAAAACTATAATATAACATCGCTATTTTTCAAAATGGCATAAGGGCAGGCAGTCAATGTTGAGCGTTTTCGTATATTCAATCGTTTATAACTCTACAACTAATCATGAAAACGCTACAAATCTCCTTCTCTTGGAAACATGTAGTACAGTATACAGTTTATTATATCTAAATTACGTATTGATTTGGCTTTGTTGAAAAACAAAGCGTCCTCCTCCTTGCGCGCATTGGAGCTTTCTGAACGGATCTCGGCAGCCCAAGGTAGTCATTCAAAACGATAGGCTTTGTGGTGGCTACCGATAAGCAGCGCCATCTATTAGAGAGTAGCTGAATAAAAAATATGTTCATCCGTATACCTTTCTTGAATGATTTCAAGCTAATTCTGTGCATTTTCAACTAGATCAAAAAAAAATCGGTCAGTTGAGCTACCATCTTATAGATGGGGGATCTTTGTAAAGTGTTATCACAAGTCACACAAAATTTAACTAGTCAAAAAGATCCTTAAGGGGTGGCTGGTCGGGGTTCGGGACGGTTTTTTATGGCAACTCATCTTCAAATATCAAGAAACTAGAATGTCCGTGAGGGGGTTAAAATCCCCCATTTTTTGATGAAAAGATTATTTTGTTTGTATTAGTTTATTATATCTAATATTACGTATTGATTTGGCTTTGTTGGAAAACAAAGCATCCTCCTCCTTGCTTGCATTGGAGTTTACAGAACGGATTTCAGCAGCCCAAGGTTGTCATTCAAAACGGTGGGCTTTGAGGTTCAGTAAACAAGGAGGGCGCTTTGTTTTTCAACCAGTCAAGTCAATACGTAATATTAGATATAATAAAAAACCCTCTCATTTTTTGATGAAAATATTATTTTGTTTGGATTAGTTCAACCCCGCGCATGAACATTAGAGTTTCTTGAACTTTGAAGATGCGTTGCCATGGGTTGGTGGATTTCAGAAATGCGATGCATTTGGGCACCCATATTATCATCGATATGTTTTCCTTGCTGACAGTGTCCAGTGTAGCAAATTCATGCAGTATCTTGTGTGTCCTTAATTTCTTCTGAAACTATCCATAATCTCATGTACTACCTGTAAGGATACAGCGATACGATTCTGTTTCGCAACTTTACAATGTGTAAAGAACAAAAGAAACACCGCAGTTATCGAAATTCCAGTAAGTCCTAAAAACATTTTATATTCCCCTTTTATGGAGGAGACACCGATATATACCGACTGATGGATGCGATATGAGGTAATAATAATAATAATAATAATAATAATAATAATCTATATTCCAAATTGTACAATGACATTACAAAAATTGTATAGCCACTACAAAATGAAATGTTGCGTCACTGTCACCGTATGGTACTTTACCTGAGACCTTTTTTTGTGTTACATGGTTATTTATCTTAAAACAGCTACTATCTAATACTATTGCAACTCCCATAGAACTCATCTATTGTATAAGGCTCTGACTGTACTAGAAATTGCTTAATAGTCTTATTAAATTTATGCAAACTGTTTATGTTTTTAATTTCATTTGGTAGATTGTTAAAAAACACATGTAAATAGGGCTTTTTTCTGTGGAGGATAATCTGTGTATTGAATAAGTAACATTGACTGTTCGAGTATCATAAACAGTTTGCACCTCAAGCACAAATAAATTTTTATTTTTGAAAAAAAATATAAGACACTCATACACATAGATGGCATACACAGTCATGATTTTTTCAGTTTTAAACACCCCCCCCTGCAAGTTTCATTGAAATTTAGTCCCTTTGGCAGACGTACTGCTCTTTTTTGAACAACAAAATTTTTTTTAATAAACCTATTGCGTCCCCAAAAAATAATCCCATACTTTAGAACACTTTCAAAATTAGCATGGTACAATATTTTCATTCTCGTATTATTTAGATATCTTGATATCACCCTAAAACCATAGGAAATGGAATTGAGCCTCTTCAGCAGTTAGGTAGCTGCTGCTTTATCTTCTGACGGCAGGTTAGATTTATTTGGCGCCTAGAATTAAGTCATCTGGGTAGCCGTGCAGTTGTGAACCTATCTTAGTATTCGTGTTGTTCTCAATACCAAGAAGCGCTTGTTAAAAAAACAGGCGCATCTGTCTACCTACACAGATCCATTAGTGTTTGCCAACATCGGCGTTCTTGAAGAGATTCTTATCATATGGTTGTGGAGTGATGATCTGGGGTTGGAAGGATTTGTAACTTGGGAAGTTTAGGTTTTGGTTTCGCAGATAACGAAAATGTTGACGTTTAGGGATGATTATGTGCTTTTTTGGGAAACGTAATTTGTTATTCTGTCAGTTGTCGAGTTGCCTTCGAGACAGTACATCACTAATGATGATCTGAATCATTGGCTAAAGTTAAAGCTAATATCTCAATACTTTTGGTACTTTTTTGTAGAGTAGGGTTGAAACTGGAATCGAAAGCATTGTAAAGGTGAAGATTGACTGCGATTCGATTTGGTGTAGAGATAGCTGAATACAATAAATTACAAACCAACAAAAATATACAGTAGGTTTATATCTTCGTATTTTCAATAAACAAATACCTATACTTTTACGAATCTAAATTTCTTTCCATGAACTATAAGATTGAGATCGCCTTTTAAAACCCGAAAATGCTTTTGACCAAAGTTATTACATTATTATTACAATGTAAACCATTACCATGTAAACCATCTTGCCTGAAGACGATTTCTAAATATAATAATTTACAGGATTAATCACTTTAAGTGAGGACATGTACATAAATTACTTTTTGCTGACGTTTCAATCAGCTTAAAAACCGCAAAATTAGGTTTCAAGTGTTACACTAAAAATACAATTATTCGGCATAAATGCGATATCTTGAAGTAATAAATTATACAATACAGGGTGTTTCAGTTTATTGTTGCATAACTTTGAGATTCGATAGAACTTTTAAAATTAATGCATAAAGTCTATATTAACATGGATCGAAAAATGCGTGGCATCTAAAATACAGGGTGTTTAAATTTACTTTCTAAAATATTTTTTTTTAATATTTCGAACAATATTTGATCTATAACAGGGAAAATTGGTATACAAGGGTTTTTTGGTACGACAAAACGAACCATGGGCATAGTTTTACTGTAGTCGCTAGAGGGCGCTCTCTACTGTACCTGTAGTGTATTAAAATGACCGGAAATTTTTACTTAGTGCAATTTTTTGCTTTTCGAATAGAAAAACTGATTCTTCGCACTTTTCAACATAAAAAAGCTCTCTTGTGAATTTTCGTTTTTGAGATATTTTGATTTTTAAGTTTCGATGCATTTTTAATTATTTATGGTAAAATAACGTTAAAAAGTCAGTATCTCGATAATTTTTAGAAGTAGGCTGTGCCTGCAAATATTTTTGAAATTGAAAGCAGAATAAGGTTAAACGTCAATTACTTGACAGTTAGTTTTGTTGTCTTTTGAAACCTGAAACGTTTTTTTGCAATTGTGAATGCATGAAATTAGTTTCTTTTACCTGTTTTTTTTTGTAAGTTTTATAAATATGCCATTTTTATTCTACAATCAAGAGTTAGCGGATATTCATTTTGTGTATGGCTTTGTAAATGGAAACGCAGCAGAAGCAGCCAGAGAATACGCACGAAGATTTCCAAACAGACGACATCCAACTCGCTCAGTATTTGTAAGAGTGCATCGCCAAATAATTGAAAATGGTTTTGGAAATCTCCAAAGGGATCAAAACATAAATGTTCGTCAGCGCAGATTTACCTGTATGATTCTGCGTGAGTTTGATAGAGATCCGACCACAATGTTAGGAGAGTTTCTGGTGCCTTGGGAATTTCAGCAAGCCATGTTCACCGTGTTCTTAGAAATGACCATAGACGTCCGTACCATTTGCAACCTGTGCAAGGACTACAGTCAGGGGACGGGGAACGAAGAATCACATTTTTTTAGTGGATTCTTGATAGAACTGATAATAATAGGGAGTTTTTAAGTAACGTTTTATGGACCGATGAGTCATGCTTCACTAGACGTGGAGTGGTAAATTTTCATAATCAACATATTTGGTCGCATGAAAATCCGCATGCAGTACGGGAAAGAAATTTTCAGCATGAATTTAGTGTGAACGTGTGGATTGGTATCTGCCGTAATCGACTATTTGGACTCTACCTTTGCCTGCAAGATTAAATGCTGCGACCTTCTTGGAATTTTTAAAGGCTGAACATGCAAATATGTGGGATGATGTTATGTTAGATTTAAGAAGATTGGCCTGGTTCCAGCTTGATGGTTGTCCAGCTCATTATTCGAGAATAGTTAGAAACTGGCTGGACGAAAATTATCCAGAAAGATGGATCGGCCGTGGAGGACCAGTCGCCTGGCCTCCACGATTTCCTGACCTAAATCCATTAGATTTCTTTGTGTGGGGATTTCTAAAAGAAAAAGTGTACCAGACTCCCGTAACCACAAGAGATATGCTAACATACAGAATCAGGAATACATGTGATGAAATAAGGCCTTATTTGAATAATGCTATACCTCGTTCGATCATTCGCAGATGTGAATTGTGTATTGAACAATTGGGTTTACATTTCGAGCAACTACTTTAGATTTTGTATGTTTGTCCTAACTAGCCAATTGCATTTTAGTTGTAAATAATTAATTTAATTTGTTAAAAATAATATTGGAAAATTAAGCAAATTAATATTCTGTTTTTTTGTGTTTATTTGGAGTTAGGTATTATTGCTGTGTTCAAAAACACAATCTAAACGATCATCTTAATTACTTGTGATGCCCATATCGAAAATGTAAAAAAAAAATATTATTTTCCCATAAATAATTAAAAATGCATCGAACCTTAAAAATCGAAATATCTCAAAAACGGCTAACTATAACGAAAACTCACAGGAGATCTTTTTATGTTGAGAACTGCGAAGAATCAGTGTTTTTATTCAAAAAGCAAAAAATTGCACTAAGAAAAATTTGTCGGTCATTTTAATACACTACAGGTACAGTAGAGAGCGCCCTCTAGCGGCTACAGTAAAACTATGCCCATGGTTCCTTTTGTCGTACCAAAAACCCCTGTATACCAATTTTCACTGTTGTACATCAAATATTGTTCGAAATATTTAAAAAAAACTATTTTATAAAGTAAATTTAAACACCCTGTATTTCGGAAGCCACGCATTTTCCGACCCATGTTTATATAGACTATATGCATTAATTTTAAATGTTCTATCGAATCTTAAAGTTATGCAACAATAAACTGAAACGCCTTGTAGATACAAAAATTGAATTTCCGCGTCACAACTTGGAAAATTACATCAGAATGACAAAATATTTGTAAGTACCAAAATAAAAGAGGGCAGCGTAAGTTATCGTACACTACTTCTAACTCGGTCTCCGTGTTCGGGTACGCGGATCTTATCCTACTCAAAGATATCCGTCGCTAACAGTGGCGTAGGGACCTCGGTTGGCCGCGTGGGTCAGAGTGTCGTGCTACTGATCAGCCGGCCGGCCGGGCCGCGAGTTCGAATCTCGCCTTCGCCATGGATGTTGTGGCGTCGTGTGTTTGTCCATAATTAGAAAGGTAAATATAACAACCTAGTTTCTGGCTGCATGGCTTAGTCCTAAAGCCAAAAAAAAAAAAACAGTTGTGTACCAGTCGCTACGCTGCTCTCTTCCATTTTCGTACACAATTATACTCTATGATGTGTCAATGGCGGCAAGAAATACAAAAAAATAAAGTCAAAATAAGTCAATTTTATCACCTATTTTCCTACCCAACTGAGAGGTCCGTATCAAAGTTACAAAATGTACTGTATTAAATGATAAATAATCAAGTGATTAGTTACACTCATTATTTGTTGCAGGACTACCCTGACGAGGATCACAATTTCCAGAAAAAGGCGCTGTTGCACATGTACAAGGAAATCGACTCATTTTTCAATGATTCTTTCGGTCCCATTTATGACGATTGGGATTCAGACGATGAAACGAGCTTCTTCATTTGAATTTTGCAAGCCAATCAGTAGGTATCTTTCCATACAAAAGCTGGGATAAGAAATAATAATGTGATGTTATTTACACGGTCATACTGGTAATAGTGTGAAATCATGGCATGAAAAGATATTGTGCTCTACAAGAATGTTCAGTGTTATCAGTTTTTCAAATTAAATCCTGATACAGAAAAAGCGCTTTATTGACATTATTCTCTAAATTATTTCATTTGTTTGCTGATATTTCATAGGAGCAATTTGGTGTTGGAAGGTTGCTTTCTATTACATTCTAAACATCCTTAGGACTTGATGTGATACTGGTCGCTCAGTAACTGTAAATCATGTAAGACTCAGTCTCAGTGTGCCTCCATATTGCGAGCCTAGCGCGGTTGCGACGACGGGCGCGAAATATCAAACATTATGAAACGCGCCTTTGCGTCCATAGTGTAGTGACTGAGGCGGAAGATTAGGGCGACAGGACGTAGTTTTCAAACGTCCCTGTTCCGCGCTTTCTGACCACACTACGGGCCTAATCAACAAGCGACCAAACGCGCGAAGGCGGCGGTAACAAACCAGTTCGGTCTTGTCGCTCGGCGAATGCATGAGTATTATTGTATTGTAATGGCGGATACTGAATTGTTTATAAGTGCAATTCTATCTTACCACCTATTTGGCAAAGTCAACATCCACACCACAGATATTTCACTTAGGATGTAGTCAAATGTTGACACGGGCATTAGAGTGTACTCAAAAAATCTGGTAGGGTATAATCTCAGTTCTTCATACAAATGAAAAAATTCAACAGTTGTTTCTCTGTTTTTATTTATTTCGTGCACACCATCTAGAATGTTCAACAGCTCGATCTCAGAATCGGACTGTCTCGTAAAAATATCAAATCGTCGTCCATAATTTGGAACTTCTGATAATACCTCGAACCAGTACAAGAGCTCGCGTGTCACTGTGGACACCAGACGCCGCCTCTCGCCGCGTCCGCCTTAGGCACATTCGGTATGGACGCACACTTAGAAGGAAACTAGGTATGTACTTTTTCCGACACAAGTTTAACCCCTAGCTACTGGAGGCAGAAACACAAACGAGCTCTGTAAATTAAGTGAGGCGACTGATTTTTTAATGTTTTTATTTAAATTTAATTACGTGACCCAATATAACTGAAGCCACAAAGCGCTGGAAACTGTTCTTCCACTCCTCATAGCAGTGCTGGAACTCCGATACTGGTCTAGCCTTCAGCTGGTCACAGCCGTTTCAATGGTTTTAATTGTCCCAAAATGAGTTCCCTTGAGGTCATACTTCTATTTCGGGAAGAGAAAAAAGTCACAAGGACACAAGTCAGACGAATGAGGAGGCTGAGGAGCCACAGGAATGTTTTCGCTGATGTTTCTTGACATTGCTGTGGGACAAGAAGCATTATCGTGGTCGAACTCTTCTCCAGTCATTCTGAGTGTCAACCAACGATCTAGGATTTTGCCTATATTTTAATTGGTCCCTGAAGATGAAGGACTTCCGCTTCGTGGTTCATCTTCAATCGACTGTAACCCATCTGTAAATGCCTTAAACCACGGAAAAAGCTGGGCTCTTGGCAAAACACTACTTCCTAAGGCCTGCTGAACTTTAGCAAGCGCAATATAGTCTAATCATATTAGACGAAAATACCCCTGGTTTTCGAAATAATTGTAAAGTCTGGTTTTATCGCTGCATTTTGTTCAAGGGGATATTCAAAACATGGACGCATAAAATGGGTACACCAATTTTTGTGGGAAAACTTTTTATTCGACAACAAAGAATGAGAAATCGGGTTTTTTTTTATTCAATCGAAAGTGTTTATTTATTTATTTATTTATTTAGCAACTTCCAACAGCCATAGCCAATTACAGGATGGATAAACATGAAAATATGACAAATGCATGTTGTGGATGTATGTAGAGAAAGCTAAAACGCTGCAAAAAAAAACCTCAAAACAGAACTGGGAGGAAAAAAGCGTTCTAGCTTTACCTACCAAGCACTCAACAATCACACCGGCAAGCATTAACGAAAATAAGCATTAATGTCTCCCAAAGTCGCACAAAACGAAAATATATCTAAAACGCTATTAACTGAATTACATTTGTCTTTCGGAATGGTTCGTGATTTGTATCGGCAAGGTAAACACGTGTATTTTGCTATTAAATGCTCTTTGAACGAACGCTGTATACTGCTCAATAAAATAGTAATGATGGCCCGAAAACAGATGTTTTGGGATAAACAATTAGAGATTCTCAAAAAAATACTTGACCAATATAATCCAATTTTGTTGTTGTTATTTAGAAGTATGAATCCTACGAATTTGAAGAATTTCAAGCACTTGCGTGAAAATATCTTCGCATTACCAACAAGTGCCAAAACCTGCATTTTGCCTCGTTTTTTGGCAATAACATTTTTGCTATTAGTCGGATCTTTTCAAGTGTGATCTCATTTTGTAGGTCTCATAAATACCTCGTCGCTTGAATGCAAATCCAAATTTTACAGGAATAATATTTTTCGTGTTTTTGTCTTGCCTAACATTTCTGAGTAATTTTGGATACAGAATGTTTTACCGGAAAACAAGTATGACAAGTCCGTGAAAGTGGACTTATATTTGTTGCTGACATTGGACTTACAGTAGTTCTGTAAGTGATCATCTGCTCTTATCATAGTTCTGCAGCGAAATGACACGCCTCAAGCTATTACGCCAAAATACCGTTCAAGCCCAGTGGTGGGGGAACGATTAGGTATGGCTTTACAATACCCCTGCATGCGAAGTAGGTGACTATGACCTACAATCTCCTGTTAAAATCTGAAAAATGGAAAGTTTTTTCGTTCCTGTCAACACTTTCGATTGAATCCCAAAAAGCACGTTTTCTCATTCTTTGTTGTCAAATAAAAAGTTTTCCCACAAAAATTGGTGTATCCATTTTATGCGTCCATGTTTTGAATATCTCCTTGAACAACATGCAATGATAAAACCAGACTTTACAATTATATCGGGGAAATTTGACAAGATGACTAGACTAATAGGAAAAATTGTTTCACAAGAAAAAAAATAGCTACGGACAACGCCGGGCTTGCTCAGTACAAGTTTGACCTCGCTCTAACTGGCGCCTCCAGTGTTACCAAATCAAACGCTATGTTGCCAATCCATTACCTAAGTTACATTACTTAAGTTACAGACCTCGCAAGTGTCACGTCACTTAAACTCACGAGCTATAATGTAAACATACGCAGTAAGCCTCGTATGGAAGGGTATGTACTAATAAATATACCGGTACTACTTCTGCCAATCAACCAATTTAGATTTTGAAAAGTGTGTTTGCGTTATAGCGCATGACTTCACGATACACTATAATAACTCGTTTCCGCCTTCTCGATGAAGTCCACTCTGGTTAAGTACAATTACCGTGTTAAATATAATCAGGTATGCAGTTACGTGAGTACTGATCCCTTATCTACTTCTTTTAAATTTCAGCGTAAGCATATGCATTCTGCTTATGAAAGCTTTTACCATATTGACCGTTTAAATGGTGCGCTTAAGATTTTGTTCCACGTTTTGTACGCAAAGGCTTTTCTACCTACTGATTGGTCGATACTATGTTTCGTATCGAACTCTTTGTATATTTTGTATAATAGAAGTTATTAGTTTTCCATTCCACTTAATTATAAGCATCTATCTATATGTATCTTTATACAAAATGCCACTATCCTCAAAACATCATTAAAATTTATTTCATAATATCAATTTTAAAATAGCAAGCTCAATCACACTATGTACTGTTATCTCTAGAATTTTACTGAAGAATAACTTAGGTACTTATTCCAACATTCCTCTAGATTTTGTACTCAGGGTGCGTTTAGAAAGAAGTGTCGCGCTGCACCCCCCGCTTGCAATCCAGTGTGCGATGGTTAGAATTGTGTTGGGAGATCTAAGCTAACAACTGAACATGTACGAAATCGCACTACAGCTCTGACGTAATTTATATATTTATTTAGCGTATGGATTTCACAGTACGTCAACTGTACAAAACAATTATGAGACAAAAAAAGTAAATGAGAAACAATATGAAACAAAAAAATCACAACCTATACAGGGTGATTCACAAGTCGTGACAAAAATGAAACATCATACACAGGACCGCATTTTAAGAGGCTTCATTAAAAAGATGAAGTTTAAAAATAAAAAACATTTTTTTTTAATATCTTCAAGACCGTCAACTGGAATTAACTAAAATTTGGTATGTGGATTTCCTTAGTATTGTCCACATCCAAATATTTTTTCAAATGTTCAAAAAGGCCACCATTCTCAAAGATACAAATGTGGCATCTTTTTAATAAAGAAAAACGTCTTTCCGCAAAATTTGTTGTGGCTTGAATTTCATGAAACTCATTATCTATTCTTTTTTGTAACTGATCAATACTATTAATTTGTTCAGCATACACTAGTTGCTTAAAAGCGCCCGACAAAAAGAAATCCAGGGGGTTCAAATCAGGAGGTCTCGTAGGCCAATGTACGGGTCAGTTTCTGCCAATCAATTGTTGTCTAAAATGATTATTTAACCATGCTGTTATGTCACGACGAACATGCGGTGAGGAACCGACGTGCTAATACCACATTCGCACTCTCGTTGCTAAAGAACATCATCTTACACATTGTATATCTATGTCTAAATTACCCAGCAAATTAATCACATTGCGCAAAATCTGCAAGGTCACGATTATAGGCACGTCTAGGACACTGCCATGATATGGCGTATTGCCTGCCATTAGTAATCACGATCACACTGAGGGGATTCAGCTCTGTCCCGGATATACAAGGAATATGCACAATTTCCATGTACTATTCTAGCCCGGTTACGCTCAGACCAAAGGCTTCGAGGCAGATCAGATCTAGTGAATCCTTGGGTTGGATCATTTATCTGGATATCTGGATTTAAGTCGATGGTGTTGTTCAGTTGAACATGGTATGTCCATGAGGGTCGGTGAATGTCCGTTATCCAAAACTTTATTGTATTATCTAATGAAGGCTACGATTTTGTGGATATTTGGGGTGTTATGTGACTAAGCACCGGTAGCCAACGAGATTGTCTTGATCGAAAGGTTCCAGTGATCATGGTCATAGTTTGGTTTAGTTGGATATCAACAGTTCGTGTATCAGCACTATTAATCCATACAGGCCAACCGAGTACACTAGAGCTGATGCTGCCTTTTGAAGTGTTGCAGGTGAAACTCTCCATGATGGATCAGCGAGTTCAGATTAGTTTCCCAGCCAGTTCCAAGATGCTGTTTAATGTTAACCTATCGAAAGTTACTCCCAAGTGTTTGAGAGATCTATTATGTGTTAAGACTCTGGCATTAAGCTCCACCTCTTGAGCTTCATTTGCCTGTCGATTGGAAAGATAGAAACAGCAAGCTTCTGTTCTTGCTTCACTGTACTACTTAAAAGAGTCACCTCGCTCACAGAGGTGTTCTGGAACTGCTTGTTCTGTAGCTGGTTTAGCTTTGTGCCAATATCAGA